CAGAACCCTAGGAGTCATCCCTTGATGCTGCCTTCCCCTTAACAGTTCAGATCTAAGTGGTCAGCGGGATCCTTTTGATTCTAGTTTTTAATCCCTCTTACACTTGTTTTCTATTTATATTTAATTCTCAAATTTATACAAGTGTCTCTTATCTTGCTTTATATCCTCCCCACCAAACCATTCTTCATATAGCAAAATGCAGATCTGATCTGGTCATTTTTCCTGCTTAAAATCTTTCAGTGGCTCCACCATTGCATACCTTGAGTAAGTAAGGCCTGACCCCTTTGGCATAGCTCACAAGGCCTCTATGATCTTGATTCTGCCTAGGTGTGTAGTACAGGCTACTCAGATCCCAGCTCTTCCATTCAACTGTGCGCTCTGGAGCACATTAATTGTAAAATGGAGGATTAAATGATGTAATTTTCAATAGATGTTAGCTAATATTTTAAATTATGATTAATATCCTTCTTTATATGTCTTTGGGAAATAGTACTATTATTTCCTTAAGATAAATTCTTAAAGTGGAATTGCTGGGTATACATTTTTGAAGACTTTTGAAAACATATTGCCAAATTGCCCTGCAGAATAGTTATACCAATTTATGCTCTCACCAATGGTATTGAGAAGGCCTGATTCTTCACACTCTTGATCCAATGCTGGGATTAACCATTTAAAAATCTTAGCCAAATGGTAAGTGAAAAATCACCTAGTGTTTATAACTTTTATGTCTATTTACATATTTTCCACAGAAAATAGGTAAAGATCAGATATACACTGAAAACAGGGAATGTTACTGCTATGTACCCTTTCTTGGTTATACGTCTCATTTTGACATGGAGGTTTGTCATCTCTGTCCAAGCTGGATTTTATGTCCTTAAACTCCATTATGTCTCTCTTTCCTTCCATTTCTCTAGGGATAAGCATACCTCTGTTTGAATTCAATGACTGAAACACTTAATTCCCATTGGACTTTTAAGCACTCTATTTGGTTCAGTTTCTTCATAAACCTTTAGATGAGGAACACGGGTGAGAGTTGGGAGACCTGTTTCTAATTCCAGTTTAGTCCCTAACTAGCTGTGTATCCTGGGGCAAGCCACTTAAACTCTCTGGACCTTCACTTGCTCTTACGTAAAGTGAGTGGGGTGGTACCAGGTAATGTCTTAGGTATCTTCTAGTTCTTACATTACACAGGTAAAATTTTTCTTCCAGGAAGTTCCTTTGGAGGCAAACTCTTGGAATACTTCCTCTTACTTTGCTGCAAATACGTCCTGCTCTCTTGCAACACAATGTCACCTCTTTGAGGCAGAACTTGCCTCTTTCCAGAACTATGATTCATTTGTATGGTGCCATGAGCCCGAGGACAATAGCAGCAACTACCACCCAAAAAGCACAGCCAAGACTTAAGTGTAAAGTAGGTCACAGTTATTTTGTGGATAGCAAAACCCTTTGAAAATCTGTTGAAAACTAGAGACCTGCTCACAGAAACACACATAAGTATATATGCACAAAATTTTAGGGAGTCCCTAGACCCTCTGAAGCCTATTATGTATTACCTATAGATCCATGAATTCTAGGTTAAGAACATTTGATTTGGGGATATTAAAGGGAACCCTGGAGATAAACCAAATTACCAAAAATATTTCCTTCCTATTGGAAAAGGGTGCTGCTAAATATTTATAGAATATTATTAAAACTTTTAAAAACCAAAATAATCATGCATACATGCTTAAGTCTTTTAGAATAGAATGCAAACTCCTCACCATGCATTACGAGGTTCTACACCATGGTTCCTGCCCACCCTTGTTTTATACTTTTGAGCTCCACTGGCCTCTTTTTTGCCCTGGGAACACACCAACTTTCTCCAACTCATTCTTTCTGCTGGAGAGTCTCCCAGTGATTTGTTTCCTCTGCCCAGATGGCTTCTCTTGTCATATGGGCAGAGGAAACAGTTCAAATGTCCCCTCCTCATGAACGTGTTCGCCAACCACCTTTGTATCTATCCTCAAATTATTTGCTAGGCACAGCGCCAGTTTTCCCCCTGCATAGTCAGTCTTGTCACAGTCCTGGCCATAGTTTTTGTTTATTTGCTCTTTGTCTTCTCTCCCTAGAAGAATGTTAGTTCCAGGAGGGAAGCGGCTTTGCCTCTCTTATTTATATCTGTATTCCCAGAGAGGGGCACGGTGCCTGTACATACTGGGCTTAGGCACTCGATCACCAATTGTTAAATGAATGCTTAAATTTTAGCCAGGGATGGATGAAAACCTTAAGAAGGTCTAAGCACAAAAGATTATGGTGCTCCTCCTCCATTAATTCTAATAACATGTTTTTGTGTCCTACTCCCATATTTAACTCTAACTAAAAACAACACTAAATTAACCATACATTTACATGTACTGAAGTGAATATAGCTTATTTGTAGATTAATGATCTGATTTAAGGCCTTGGAGCCCCTGTTTTGCTGGTGCCCTCAATGGATGCATTTTGTCTGCCTTTGGAGAGCCTAGCACTCACGTGTCCCTTTAAATAGGCTGGAAGCAGTTTTAGGTTAAGCAGGTTTGTCTGTGCCTAGAAAAAACCTTGCAGCAATTTTGATAGTAATTGTGTTCATCTCTAGATCAATTTGGGAAGAATTGACATTATTTACTATATTGCTCCTTCCAACCCATGAATGTAGTAAGTTTCTTTAGTTATTTAGGTCTTCTTTAATTTCTTGCATCAGTGTTTTATAATTTTCAGCATATAGATTCCATACATGGCTCATTAGATTTATATCTAAGTATTTCATAGTCTTTGGAGCAATTGTAAACAGTACTGTGTTTTTAATTTGTTTCCACATGTTTGTTGTTAGCATATGTAGCTCTTTTAGTAGAACAAGGAGAAATGCACTGTTTAGTGAGTTAAACTTGTTCACTGTTAACCTGGAGACTAGTAACTATTTATCCTGATAGTCAAGAACCTCCATAATGTGCCTCTAAATCCCTTAAATTTAACCCAATTCTTAGTCACTCCACACAAATCTCTACTATTAGGTCTACTCATCCCCTCACCTGAATACACCTTATTCATTCCACCTCGTGTCTTTGCTCTGCCATTCCCACCCCCCCCACCCCCCGCCCCCAGAACAGTCCTTCCACTGAGCCATTTTCCCCCAAGTTGAAACTGAACTATACTTCAAGGATGAGGTCAAAGCATTCTTCAGCAGAGGCCTTCCCTGACAAACCCTACATTGCTCCTTTTCTCAGTTAGATTCTTTTAATCAATATTGTATGCCACTCAATCATTCATTTAGTTTTGAATTAGTTTTAATCTCTTTCCTAATTAGATGATATACATCAGAGAGGCTCCCATAATGGCTATCATAGAACCACAATACTTGAAAGGCACTCCAATTTAATTGCTGTATAGATGTAGAAACGGGAGAGAGGTTTCAAGATGTGTCAGAGGAAGGCTGCTGAAGGTGCAGTGCAGCATGTGTCGGGTATTCCACTAATTCTGAGTCTTCCACCCAGGCAAGATCCTTGCTCTCCACCACTAGAACAAGGATTCTCTCTCGTTTCCTTCCTCTCCCCAAATCCCAGGATCTCCAACTAAGCATATTTGAAATGCAGATCCTTTCCAACTACCCCTTCAAAACTTCTAAAACCAGCGGGTCTAGGGTTAGATTTTAAGCGGTTTTTCTAGAGCTCAGATAATCCATGGGAGTTGCAGTAACATTTCCTGGCCACCAGAGGACAGGGAGCAGCGGGGAAGATTGCTTCCCCTTAGCCAAAGCTTTAGAGGTCAAAGGCAGAAGTAGAACGTGGGCTCTCCATCTACGACTTTCAGGCTTTTTTTTTTTTTTTTTTTTTAATACTAATGGGCTCCTTTTCCTCCTCCAGAAGATGGGCCAGAAGTTCCCAAGGGCTTACCCCAATGCTAACCTTAAATGATTAGCAATCATAATGCACTTTAGTTGCAAGACCTAAAGGCAGAAAAGTATGGAGATGTTTTATCTTCCTCACCCACCCCAAACCTGCTTTTCAGTTCTTGAGCCAATTAAAAAAAAATCCCTTAGGGAGGGTCCAAATGGACATTCCACAACAAAGATGTCTTTAGGGGCCAATGTCCCAAATGTAGTACATTGCAAATGGAATATTTTAGGAGCTAGATTATTCCTACACATAAATTCTGGCTCGAGCAGTGCATTCGCAGTGTGCTTTTCCGTCATTAATCACATCTTTGTTATGTGATATCCACGTGAGTACTTCTCAGTAGAAGCAGCTTCATGCTCAAATGCTCAAAGAACACTGGAATAAAGCCCCGATTGTCCTATTCAGTGATTCCAAGTCCTGGTTTGTCACCACCTCAGGTCTCTAGTTTTTCAAAGTGTGTAATGTGTCTCAAAACAAAGGTATTGTAATTAATCCAAATAAAAAATGCACAAAGTGCATAGAGTTAAATCTCAGGGTCTGGCACCTCTCAAGAGGCAGTGAACCTCTGGTCTCATTTAAAGATGATTTTGCACTGCCCGATGTAGTAAACATTTTTAGAGAATTTTTAACTACTCATATCGTTACATTTGTAAATATAAATAAGCATAAGAAAATATAGCTAAGTAAAATAATAAATGTTAGGAACATTCATGTGGAGGGTCTCAACGACAAACATAATAGCTGAATGCCCGAAAACACCAGTGTAATTTTTCTTAAAGTACCTGTAACTTCTCTTTCATAACAGACGGCAGTGCCTTGCATTTTGGATTCGTCAGACTTTTTTAAAGTGACTGTAATTCTCTCAAATCATTGTTTGCGTTTCTTCAAGCTGGTGAGGCCGCTGGAAACAGCCCAAGGAGGAGGAAAAGGGTCTGGGTCTCGGCGCGGGGGAAACCCTTCAGTACCTGTTGGGGCGCAGCGCTGAAGGCGCGCGGCCGGGGCGAGGACCCGGCGGGGAGGGGTCGGGGGCCGGTAGCTCGGGGGCGGAAGGAGGAGGCCGCGCGGCCGCCTCCTCGGGCAGCCCCGGCTCCTCCCAGCGGCGCCAGCGAAACCTGCCTCCGAGTCGCCGAACTGGGGAACGGAACGTGACCCGACCCCTCCCCGCGTGGCCGGAACGGGGCGAGGAGCCGCGCTCCGGGCTCGGGCGGCCCCGGGATGGGCGGGAGGGCGCGCGGCCCCGCCCGGCGCCCACCGCCCTGCCCTCGCCTGTCTCCTCCTTTCCCCCGGGCTCCGCTGAGTTCATTCACTGGGATTGGTTTCAAGTGACGCCATCTCTTTATTTTTAAACCAATGACCTCATCCGCGCTTGAAGTTTCCTGACCAGCGACTCTTTCTCTTTTCCCCCACCCCCCCACTCCACCCCCCCGCCTTTTCCCCTTTTTCTGTGTATCACTGTTTGGGGGGGGGGCTTTGGTCAGTTTTTAAACGATTATTATCACCCCTTCCTCCCCCTTTCACGTTCTCCACGCGGCCCCCCATCTTCACCTCCCCAACTTTTTCACTCCTTTCAACATTGTTTTTTCAAGGCTGACTGGGGGTGGGGGGAGTGAAGAAAATTTGCAAACGTCTCCTTTCTTCCTAAGCCTCCCGCCCCCGCCCACCCCTCAGAGAAGGAGAAGATAATATAGTGAAAAGAAGACGAGGAGAGCGCGACGGGACGGACGGAGCGGGAGCGCAGCCGCCCTCCCGGCTCCGCAGCGGCGCCTCGAAAGTCCGAGAGGCGAGGGGGGACCGAGGGGTGACGCCGTGACAACCTTCGCTTCCCCCACAGGGAGTCGGGAGGTCGGCGGCCCCAAAAGTAAGTGGCCTCGGACCGGCCGCGCGGACAGTGCGGGCGGGAGGGTGCGGGGCTCGGGTCGCCCGCCCGTGCCGGTAGCATGGACGCTCCGCGGCTCGCCTCCACTCCGGACGCCGGGCGCCGCGCTCTCGCCCCGCCGCCTCTGCCTTCCCGGGCGTCCAGGCCACCTTTTCGGAAGGCAGGGTGGGGGCGACCGCGGCCCGTTGCCACACGAAACGTTTGAAGCGGGGGTGTAGGCCTGGCTGGGGGCCGGGCCGAGCGGTAAGGGGGCGGGCGGCTGGGCGCGGGGACTCGGTCCGTGCGGGCCCGGCGGCCGGGTCCCGCCGCGGAGCAGCCCCTGCGGGTAGCCGCGGTGCTTGCGCGGGCGAAACTGCTCAGTTGCAGGCGCGTCTGTTACTCAACACGCCTGCCAAATGGGGCCCCGGCCTGACTGTTCCTATTATCCCAAATTCGCCTTTGGTGTAAGCAGCGAGGCCACCTAGGTGGTGACGGCGTTGCTTTCTTAAACCCAACTAACCTAGCAACAACTCAATTTTTCATACTCGGGGCCCGAGTCATGATCTTGGGGGACCTGGTGCGCCGTGGACTTCTTTATTCACATTAGTCATAAAACGTGAGAAATAATCATAACAATAATAATAAAAAAGCCTTGGGTAGACAGCTGAGGATCTGTTTATCATGTGTGGTTCCATGTAATAAAACACCAGGAAGAAAAATATTTAGGTAAAACTGGGTTTACTCCTAAAACACACACATACACACACCGGTAATTAACGAGAAAATATAAGTGGACCTTAAAATGAATGGATACTGCAAATTCTAAACAGGATTATTAAACGTTGGCTGCAAAGATCGTCAAGTCCTGGGCGTCTCAAATTGTTCGCAGAAAGCACACCTCTAACCAGCCTATGATGGATAAAGTGGGGAGGAAAAACCTGTTGCATAATCTCATTTGCCGTGGGGTTTGCAGTGCCGTCCCCCTTGAATGAAGGGGAAGTGCGTTAAGATGCAGGGTTTTAAAAACTCAAGTTTTTATTTACCCAGTGCTCTGGCTGCCACTTCTGCTTTAAAAGACTGTAAGTAAACACTCTGCTCTTACAAGTGAACCAAACCTATCAAACCTGTTTAGAAAATGAACAGGTATGTTTCTTTTCTTTCTTTTGAGTGAGTGTGTGTGTGTGTGTGTGTGTGTGTGAAATTTACCATCCACGGAAGACCTTATGTCTACTATTTGGGAAACTGAAGGCTGTCAGAAAAATGCCTCTTTATGTCACTCATTTAATGGAGTGCACAGAGGTAACAACTGTTTCCTCAAAGGATTTGTACTCTTGTGAACTTCATCAAGAAAAGAGATTTCTAAAGAAAAGAATTCTTACCAGTTGAGTTACTTTTTAATTATTTACTTTTCCTCGAGAATCATGTGTATTGGTGGACACACAGTTTGGGAGACTGTGATTAATTAATTAACTCTTGTGGAGTTCTAGGTTTAGTGAAGGCAGCAGCCTGGAGAAGTAAATTGAAAAGCTAAAAACTTACAGCTCTGTGTAGTTACTTCAGTCAAAATGTGACTAGGCACGGTGAAGAAAATTTAAAAAGAAAAAAATAAAGTTGTGGAATTTATTGAGTTTGAGGACTATGTGAAAGGTTGCTGTTAAAAATGCTTGGGGGTTGGTTAATATTTAATGTCTTATGTAAAAATTTGAGCTAAATTACACCGGCTCAAAAGTTGATTTTTAGGTAAAATAATTTGTACTTACCAAGGGTCCACATGGAAGAAAAATTTAAAATGAGTTTATTATTAATTCTGCTGGTAATATGGTGACAAGTGTATGGAAAAAAAGTCATTTCAGGCACTATAAACCTACATTCAGATGTAAGATAACTGAGTACCTGTAAAGGAAGGAAAAATAGTCCAGTAAAATTGAGGATGAGGGGGTCTCTTTGGCCAAAAGCTTAATGGTAGTAACTGAAAATGGGGGCAAAAGAGAAGATCCTGTTAACCCAGTCCTTTTGCTTATACATTTGAAACTTATTTGTGGAAGTGAAGCAGAGATGAGATCTGAGGTGGGTGCAGAGTTTAGGCTGGGATCAGAAGGGCTAGGGTTGATGCGTGAATTTGTTTGATGCCGTCCTCTGTAAATGTCTATTCGGAATTAAATTCCATAGAGTTTTTGGTCTGTGGGATTATGTATTGATGAAGCTGACGTACATAGCTGTCCAATATTCATGTTTTTCGACCAGTCATAATATCCTACTAAATATAATTTGCTGGAATTACCAGTGTAATTTATCCTAGAAACCCAACTTTTCCTGGAATATCTTTTAAAAAGTGGAGTTTTCTATGCTGTGTTGTTTGGACTAAAAATTTCCCTGGATGTTTAATGTTTTTTAAAATGCTTTGCAGTCAAGAAAATAGTACTTTAAATTGAAGAAGTAAATGAATATAGGAAGTCTGATTTAGATCAGAATCCCAAGAAAAGGGAGAAAATATATCAGGGGAAACAGAAACCAGATTTTATGACAGATTGAAAAAACTAGTTAAAAGGGCTTCATAGAAAAAAATCACAGTTGATGCTTGATGGGCTTTTAAAAAAATTAACTACATCAAAATTTAAAACCAAAACAGTTATCTACCATCATAAAAGAAAATGTTGCTAACGTTGGCTTAAGTAAAAACACAATTAAGAAATTAAATCTTGGTCAAAGCCACATATGATACAGTCCAAAGCCAGATGTCATTTTCTTCTTGATTTTCTTGTGTTGTAGGTAATTTGATATTTTTGTACATTTCATTAGCCCAGATGATCAAGGGTTGGCTATGTGAAGAGGTGAGGTTCAAAAAAGGTTGCTGGATTTAGAGAAGCAGGCTCAGGCCTTACGAAGATGCCATTCTTATACATAGACTAAGAAAGGGAGTTTGAAATGTAATCAAATAAATGATTGAACTGGATGAAATAGGAGTGGCTCAAAAAGAAGTATATAAGGCAGATTATCAAAGACAGGGACAAAGAAATAATGAAAGCTTGCCAGGGGTATGGTCAGTAAAGAAGGAAATGGGATACATCTTGGCATAAAAGGAAAAAGGCATAAAGGGAAAAAATACCTTCCTATCCGTCAGCAACAAGAAGAAGGTAATGAAACTTCACCTCTTTCTTGATTGAGGTTAGATAGATATCACCAAAAACTCACAAGATTCTTTTATTACATAAAAATTTTAATCTTGGGGGAGGTAGGATGGATAAATTATGAGCATAAGTTATAATTGTATGAGCATGTAAAACTTGAAATTGCCAAAGACATTTAAAATAGAGGGGGGCCCACTACAATTTCAGTTGAGTAATTGGAAAGGAAGGGGTAAGTTATAAAAAGTTGAAACTTATTTATTTCTAAATTAATTACAGATATAAATTAATCAACCCAAAACACTTATTAATGAGTGTTTTTGAGTAAAGACTCATGTACTGAGGTGGATATCAAAAGTTGGGGATCTAGGTTCATGCCTTTAATAAGGACAGAATTATTAGTATTTTAAGGCAGGTATGTATATATGCAAAGATAAAACAATTATCAGACAGCAGGGAAGTGCCAAATTCATGGTGTAAAGGAGAATGAGATTGGAGGATTAGGTGAGGTAATCTTCATAGAGATAATGGAATTTGACCCTGGCTTTTTAAAGTATCATCAACACATGTATGGAGGAAAGGAAGTGGGGAAGGTCAAAGAAGGAGGCCATTCATCCATCTCTTCATTCAGCAGATTTATTTGGATTCTGTATTATGTGCCAGATGCTGTTCTAGGAACCGAGCATAGAGTGGAGAATAACAAATTCTTTACCCTTATGGAACTTACATTCTAGTGGGAGAAGAAGGACAATAACCAAGTAAACATTACGTGGAAAATATGATGTCAAGTGGTGATGTTTTGTGAAGATAATAATGAGCAGGGTCAGGAAATTATAAAAGGCTAGTTCTAGTCCCACTTATTCTGTGACAAACATATTTTGCCTATGATATACTGGTAAATAATGTTAATGATATAACCTAATATTTATTTGCAGACTAAACCAATTTGAAAAGAAGTCTACACATTAACTTCATCTTTAACCAATTTTAAAAAAAGAAACCTACAAAATGTTTTTTAGATTGAAGTATGTAAGCTTTGAGTTTTTAACTCCTCATTAACAATTTATCTACTTTTTTTTTTTGCTGCCATTTGCTAAACTCATTTTTTGCAGTGAGGTTAATATCATTGTTTATAATTTACTTAGGGTTGTGATATATCAAGCTTTATACTTAGATTCTCCATTAGGAACAACGTCCCAATAGTGCTATACAGTAAAACTAAATTCTAAGAACAGTTTGTTTTGATGGGCCTTGTGTGATTGCATAGGAAACAAAAGTTGTATAGACAGTATATGTAAGCTACTTGGCTTTATTACCAGATGGGTAAAATAGGTTAAAGGGTCTCTGGGTCTTGTCTACATGGTATAGAAATAAACAAATAAATTTGGACTATGTTGTGTTCCATGTATTTAATTATGTCCCTTTAAAGATTTGCAGGGGATTTAGTGGTCTCACTGGAAATACTGTCTTAAAATTGGCATTTTTACTCCCTTACAAGTAGTAGAAACCTGAAGCAAAGTGCCAGTTCTGAAATGGGGAAGTCTGGATTCTTCCTGCCAGTATCTGACTGCCAGGTTTTGTTGTTGAGATGATGTCCTTTACAGTGTCAGCTAAAAAGTTCTTGATGACTATTTCTTGTTTTTGGACATATTTATAAAGTACTTTTCAAGCATTCTTGAAGAAATATGTTCCCTTCCCTTCTCCATTATTTCTGCAATTTTAAAGATAAAAAAATTATAGGTGAAATTGAGGTAAAGGATTTATATTAAGTGTATTACTTTGGAAATTTTTTCTGTATGCAATCTAACCAGTTTTCATCGACAGTTCATTCTGATACACTTATGTAAATCTATGGAAAAGAAAATTTTTAGAGGAAGTAGGAAATATTTCAGCATTTGATACTTCAACATTCCTTTGATTTTCTTCTAAACGTAATACTCAATTTAGAGAAGTATTGTAGGTAAGAATACCGGAGTCTGTGGTATGTGTGTGGTAAAAGCTAATGTGACGTGTACTCTTCAAAAATGTTTGAGAAGGATAGTAAAACTCAGATTTGTTTTAGTGTCTGGATGAGAAGTGGGGCAAACTGTGGTTTTCAAGAAAAAGATGTACTGTAGATTGTAATGGTATATGGCAAGGTAATTAATGTTAAAAATCCTCATTCTTCCCTTTGAAATTAATGTGGAAAGATATACAGAGAAATATATGCTACTTATTTGCATTTTATAAATTAAAAAGCCCAAACAACTCATTCTGGGATAGTACCTGGTAGAGTTGTTTTTTGATGAATGTTTGCTGAACAAATTGAATTATTTTTCACAGTTGTTACTTTCTATTGTGGTTCTAGTACCTGTCTAGCTTAAAGCACTGGTTTTTGAGGTTTGAGTTGAAATGCGAAGGGGGGTAGGTTGCTTTACAGACTTAGGCATGTACCTGACTTTTTTGAGCAGTATGCTCACTCTGAAACCTGGACCCTGACCTCCAGATTGCCCGACCCTGTGGCTGACCTGACCTCATTTTTTTTGTAATGGCAGGTGGTTGTTTTGTATCAACTTCTCTTTCTGAGCAGCTGAGCTGTGTCTTCTTCTTGTTACTTCTCAGAATACTGAAGTGTCACAAATATGGCCTATTTTGTAGTGGGTTTCTTTTTTTGCTTTTATTTGTTGTTTGGTTGGGGGAGCGGAGAAACATATTCCTCAGGAAGACAGTTTGTTTTGTGGGGGTTTTTTAAAAGATTTTATTTATTTATTTTTAGAGAGGGGGAGGGAGGGAGAAAGAGAGAAACATCAATGTGTGGTTGTCTCTTATGCACCCGCTAAGGGGACCTGTCTCACAATCCCGGCATGTGCCTTGACTGGGAATCGAACCTGTCACTCTTTGGTTCACAGGCTGGTGCTCAATCCACTGAGCCATACCAGCCAGGGCAGGAAGATAGTTCTTGGTTTTATTTTGTAAGCTGCTCATAACATATTAAGCATGGTATTATTTCTTTTTTCTTCCTAGCTTTTACTAGAAATCTTGTTTTCCTTGAAAGTAAACTGATAAGAATCATGTTTTGATGGTACAAACTAACAGGCTTCGTTGGGGGAGACAGTCAGGAAATTAGAACATGGAGTATATATTAGGTGGTATTTAAGAATTATAACCATAAATTTTTTATCTATATTGTTGATATTGTGAGAATGTTAAAAAAAATATTCATATGTTAAAGGTACATATGGAAGTATTTATAGGTAAAATGAGTGGTCAAGATGGAGGCATAGGTAGACACGGTTAGCCTCCTTGTGCAACCATAGAAAGACTTACAACCAGATCTCAAAACTAATTACACCCAGAACCATCAGAAAATTGAGCTGTATGGAAGTCTAACAACCAAGAGTTCAAAGACACATTCATCCAGATGGGTAGGAGGGGTGGAGTCAGGGAGACAAGCGAAGAGGATGCTTTGTGTGGGGTGGAAAGGTCGTGGTGCTGGTATTGGCAGCAGACCGGTCAGGAGGGATACCTTGGGGGTAAGCGATTCCAGCTCCAGGCCAGACTGCATAGTGCAGGGTTCTAGTACAGGGAACATAGATCCCCATTACCTCTGGCTGTAAAAACCAGTGAGGATTGGGGCGGTGGAAGAAACTGTCAGATTTTTGCTGCTTAAAGGGCCAGCATGGTCTTATACGCAAACCCACTCACTCGGGTATTCACCACCAGGGCAGCAGCTGGAAAGGCACCAGTTGCACATAGGAAGGGGGTGAAGTGACTGGAAATGGAGCAAGTGCTGGGCTAACCTGGGCTAATCGACAGAAGCCAGGTGGCAGTATTTTCCCCTTTCTGAGCCTTCCCCACACAGCCACAAAGCAGTGAAGCAACTGGCAATCCCCTAAGGCTTTGCCCCACACAATTTACAGGTGCCTTTCTACATAGGCCATGCTATTAAGATGGAGTAAAAGCAGCTCTACCTAATACACAGAAAAAAAAACAAACAAACCCACAGGGAGGCTGCCAAATTGAGGAGACAAAGAGACAAAGAAATATGGCCCAAGTGAAAGAACAGAACAAGAACTGAGAACAAGAACCCAGAAAAAGAACTGAGCAAAATGGACATAGCCAACATATTAGATGCAGAGTTCAAAACAGTGGTTTATCAGGATGCTCAGAGAACTTGAGTATAGCTCCCCCCCCCAAAAAAAGAGGAAGAAATGAAGGTTACACTAAATAAAATAAAGAATAATCCACAGGAAACCAACAGAGACGGGAAGGAGGCTGGGATTCTAACCAACAATTCGGAACACAAGGAAGAAATAAACATTTAACCAGAACAAAAAGGAGAAAAAAGAATTAAAAAAAATGAGGCTAGGTTTAGGAACCTCTGGGATATCTCCAAATGTGCCAACATCCAAATCATAGGGATGCCAGAAGGAGAACAGGAAGAGCAAGAAATTGAAAACTTACTTGAAAAAAGAATGAAAGAAAACTTTCCTATCTTCGTGAAGACATACAAGTCCAGGAAACACAGAGAGTCCTAAACAAGTTGGACCCAAAGAGGACCACACCAAGACACATCATAATTAAAATGCCAAATGTTAAAGATAAAGAATCCTTTTTTAAAAAAGATGATTATTTATTTATTTTTAGAGAGGAAGGGAGGGAGAAAGAGAGGGAGAGGAACATTGATGTGCTAGAGATACATCAATCAGTTGACTCTTGCATGTCCCTAACCAGGGACCTGGCCCACAACTCAGGCATGTGCCCTGACTAGGAATTGAACCGGCGACCCCACTGGTTTGCAGGCTGGCACTCACACCACTGAGCCACACCAGCCAGGGCAAAAAGAATCTTAAAAGCCACAAGAGAAAAGCAGAGTTACCTACAAAGTAGCTCCCATAGGACTACCAGTGGATTTCTCAAAAGAAACTTTGCAGGCAAGAAGGGACTGGCAAATATATAATTCAAAGTGATGAAAAGCAAGGACCTACAACTTAGGTTACTCTACCCAGCAAAGCTATCATTTAGCATGGAAGGGCAGATAAAGTGCTTCCTACACAAGGTAAAGCTAAAGGAGTTCATCACCACCCATCACCACCAAGCCATTATTACAGGAAGTGTTAAAGGGACTTATTTAAGAAAAAGATCAAAACCATGAACATTAAAAAGGCAACAAATTCACAACTATCAACAACTGAATCTTTAAAAAAAACAACTAAACAAACAATGAGAACAGGAACAGAATCATAGTCATGGAGATCATTTGAAGGGATATCAGCTGGGAGGGGGAGGGGAAAAATGGGGAAATGGTGCAGGGATTAAGAAGCATAATTGGTAGGAGCAAAATAGACAGGGGGAAGTTAAGAATAGCATAGGAAATGGAGAAGCCAAAGAACTTACATGCACGACCCATGGACATGAACTAATGGGGGGATTGCTGGAGGGAAGGGGGTACCAGGCAGAGGGGGGCAAAGAGGGAAAATTATAACTTTTTATGCTATTACAACTGTAATACATAATTAATAAAACATTTAAAAAATGAAATCATGACTAATATTTATTTTAAAAGTTACAGGGTAAGCACAAACACAAGAAATAAAATAGTATTGGCAAATTTTTTATTATTAAAGCTGGATAATAGGTACATCGGGGTTTGTTACCACTTTCTGTACTTTATATAATTTATAATGTATATAATTTAGAAATAGTTATAATTAGTTAAGTGGTATAGTTAAACTATGCATTAGCAATTATAACTTTAAGGGAAGAAATCTAATACAGTAACCTTATGTGAGTGGATATTTTAGCTAATTGGCTAATGAAAAATCTTCACTTTGCATTTTTTGTAAGTTCTGCTTTTAGTAATATATTTTTAAGAAGGGAGAACTTTGTAAAAATATAGTCATTAGAAATATTTAAAACTCTCTGAGACCTTGTAATAATATACCTGTAGTTGATAAATTGCTTTTTCATATTTTGTCTTTTATCCTCAGAACAAGACATGAGTTATCCATTTTGCAGCTGAGGAAACTAAGGCCTTAGGGAGATTAAGTGATTTATCCGTATCTCAGAGCCAGTAAGAAGTGGTGCTAGAACGGATCCGAGACCTTCTGATTCATTTTCAGGTACCCAATTCTCTTACACGTAAATAATTATAAGTGCTTTTTTTTAAACCTGCAGTTTTCAAAAATTCTGGTGCTTTTAAAAATTATTGAGGATCCCAAAGATGTTTTGTGTTTGTGGACTATGTCTATCAATATGGAGTATGTTAGAAATTAAAACTGAGGAATGTTTAAAAGTGTTCATCCATTTAAAAATAAACTCATTAAAGGTTAATGTAGATAACATACTTTTATGAAAAGTATTTCAAAACAAAAAAATACAGTGAGAAGTATGGTGGTGTTTTTACATTTTGCCATTCTCTTTAATACATTGCTTAATAGAAGACAGATGGATTTTCAGTACTGCTTTTCAGTCTGTTGTGATATGTTGTTTGTTTGAAGTGTATAAAGAAAACCCAGCTATACACAGATACATAGGTGAAAAAAGGTGGATGGAGTATTTCACTATCTCCTCACGTAATTGTGAATATTCTTTGTTACATCAAAACTCAAAAAATGGTAGATTCTTAAAGGTTAGTTGCAGTGTTAACTTTGAAACCGTATCAATGAATTTTTTGTGCTCTATAAGATTAAAAATCTATTGGTTCATTTTGCACTTTGAATGGATCTTTGTGTATATGATTTTATAACATCATACACTGGTCATTTGAAAAATAATGGTGTACTGAGTTTGCAGATTTTTCAAATGTTGATATATTTGCTTATACAAATTACATTAATTAAGATGACCATTAATCTCATCAAAAAAGTCTTTAAGAGTTGGAAAGCAGTCAAGATTTTAGTGTTGAGTTCAAGTTGTCCATAATTCTATTTTTTTCTTAAAAGCTCAAATGTTATCATTGGTAACAGATATTGCCAGTTTTTCCTTGAAGTATCAGGCTCACTTTATTCATTTCGGAGAAAATGTTTGACAAATACCTGAGTCTGAATAAACTATAAGTTGTCTGCCAGTCATTCTCTTAAGCAAAAATTGTATACTATGAAGAAAAAACGTGTAATTTAGCTCACAACTCAATTTTGTACATGCGTTTCCTTAAGGCAGCTATTGCTTTAGGTATGTAGCAGGACAGATTTTTGTGTGTGCTTCCTATTTCACCGCACAGAATGTTAAAAAGAAGTTTTCTAGGGTGAGATTTAATAAAATTAATAACTTTTATCAAAAACATTGAAAGTAAAACTGGCTTTTTAAAAATAATTGATAGACAATGAGGAATATAATTATTACTGGTATAGTTTTGTCCCCCTGATTCATGATAAAGCACTAGCACTTTGTTTATTGCTTTTGTACCATCAGAGCAGATATCAACATGGTTGTTTCAGGATAAATCATGAGATGCAAAAAGTTATTTAATGCTCTGAGTAATTCAGCAGCACTTGTATTTGTCGTCAAGCATTCACATACAAGATGACCTTTTTTGATAATTAGTTGGCATGGATACTAGGATGAAAACAAAACTGGAAGTCCATCCACATCCATGGATTTGTCCACTTATAAAGCAAAAGTACTATCCTTGAGGCAAGATATTAACTTGTAGTTCATGTTAGCAGTAAAATATTTAATTTGATGAGATACTGCATCATTGGTAAGTGGCATTGCTGTGGTTTCCTCTGACTTTTCATTCAGCAGACATTCAGGAGTGTCCACCCTACAAAGCTTTACTAGTTCCTGGACTGTAGTGTGCACTGCTTCAACCAGAGCTGTCTGATAAGTTACCCACTGTGATGCTTCTGTGGCTTTTTCATTTCTAATTTGAAAACAATGTTTTGCTTTTAAAGAGCTTATCACATCAGTGTTTAAAACATTAAATTTATTTATCTTTCAGTAAATTCATTTGATGATAGCAAGAATGAAGATGATAGCAGGTATAATCAAGATTGCTATGCTAGGAAATACAAGTAATAAGAACACACTGAGTAAATTTCTTTAAAAAAAATGCATACTTAAACCTTAAATTTGCTACCTTAGAAAATTCTGAGAAACAAGAATATACAAGCATAGGTTTCATTAGCTGCCAGAGCGATACATTATCACCACACATCGTGTGTCCTTTGGATTCACTGTTGTACACTCATGAGAGAATGAGTGTGAAAAAGGCAAATAACCTCTGTGTATGACTAAAAATAGTGGTGACATGGTGAATCCCCTGGAACGGTCTCGGGAACCTCCAACCAGGAGTCTCTGGACCATACTTTGAAAATGATGATATAAACTAGTACGGTGTCTTAATAGATTTTTAGAGCAGTCTCACATCGACATCTGTGTCAATAAAGTATTGTTTCCATTTTAACTAATTAATGTGCCAGGAAGATGGGAATGTGCTAGTGTGTGGGTGGAGCTGGGTGACCCAGAGACCGTAACCAGTAGAAGGTCATATATCATCAGTGAGTGGTGGGATAAAGGGTAGACAGGGCAGGAGTCGGCAGAAGCACTTTACTATAGCTTAAAAAATGAGCTTTTGCTTTTCCTGTGTTTTTCTTTTTAAACTAAAAAAGGACTGAGTCCACATTTGTGTACAAAATACAGTGTTCCTTAAATGTCAGGGTCAGTCAGCCATTTTTCCCTCGAATGTCAACAGGAGAGAGCTGCTAATGTACTTGAGAGGAGAATGGATGCTCATGGCGGTTGTTTGTCCCTTCCACGTGGGGATGCTGTTGGTCTTTTCCTTTGTGGAAGCTGAGGGATGACAAGACACATGAGGTTAGAAAGAAGACACTGTGAAAGAGGGGGAAGTGGGAGCAGACATTGGTGATGATTGGTGAACAGCTATCGGCAAAGTGGGCTGTGGACGGACAGCAGAGATCAGCACTGAGGGTACAGAGGAAGACGTGGGTAAACTGGGCTCTCCCACGCTCTGGGCACAGCAAGAACGGGGCCCAGGGCAGTGCAGAGATGGGCGAAACAGGAGTCATGGGGATGAACATTATTTGAAATATTTCCATCAAAATGTGGTTGAAATAACTATTTAAATAATGATAGTGGATAGCCCGACTTTTAATGTCTCACCAGTATTTGAATTCTGTGGTTATAGCCACAGGAAAAGAACAACAATGCCATGAGTTAGTTTGTGGGGATGGTAAGTTGCTAAGCTTCGGTTATAAGCATGGATATATGAAAATAATTGACTGAGTCAGGATTAGAGCTATAAATTCAAGATGAAATTTTAACACTTCATTTTATTACTAACAGATAGTTATGACTAAGGAGACAGAAGTGTTTAGTTAAAAAAGATTTATCATTTATCAGTTTGTTATTTATATGGTACTTAATTCCAAAAATGATTTGAGATGCAGAAGCAACTATCAGAGTCAGTAACCAAAAACAAACATGATCTGAATTATGTTTTTTCCCTAATATTTTCTCTGCTGATGACATTTATGTCAATAGGGTCATACAGTTGAGGTACTGTAACTGTAGAGTAATCAAACAGGTCTCTGTCTGCTCTGCAGGAGAAACGTAATCCTGACACTTTTTAGTTGCATGTAGTGTAAACAATATATGTGTATAATGTGAGTGAGATTGGGCAGGAAAATCAGAGCATGCCACAGAAAAAAAAATTTTTTTGTAAATTTCAGGGCTGCTTTCAACTGCAGTTGACAGAAAGCTACCAACAGAGGCTTAAACTATGACCTGCTTGTATATGCAGTTCAGAGCAGTTTTGAGGTGGTCTCATGGTTGGTCCAGCTGCTCAGTCATGTCCCCAGGATCTCTCCCATCTTTGACTCTGCTTTCGTGTGTTCACTCATTGCCTCAGCTTTAGGTATCACATCCCTTCTCAAGGCAAGGAGGAGGCAGGAGACAAATCAAGCGATCCTTCCTCCTGTGCTTGCCTAACAGAGAACAAACCCTTTCTCAAAAGCGTCCATTTGGTTTTCTCCTCAGTATCATTTACTTGAACTGTTTCACAAGACTTCCCCACTCACAGTAGAGACTCGGGAAGTGGTGAATGGCTAAGGGAACAGGATTTCCAGGGTTGGTGTAATGGGCATCATGTGTCATTTCCTGGGCTTACATTGCTTGTTACCCAGGAAAAACTGGAATTCTGTTAGCAAGTTAGAGGGGAAGAAATGTCTGTTGGGTAGCTGGCTATAGACACACAATGTCTATTGTGTGTCTGTCACAAATATGCAGAAAGGGAAGCACGAAAGGTATTAAGTAATTTGTTACCTTTTTTTTTTAGTCTGGAGACCATTTTAAGTGTTCCCTACAAACAAGGCCACATCCATTTTCTTTCTTATTTTGGTGGGAGATTATGCAGACTTGTATCCTGATTAGTTGTAGAGCTAATTTAGAAACAATAAGGTCTCAGTTTTCTCAACTGTTAAATAAGAATATTGTATTAGGTAATCTCTGAGGTGACTTCCAGTTCTAAAACTCTTATCTCGTTTTTTCCTTGTCTTTTGACTATTTTACATTTTATTATCTTTTTTTATTAAAAAGTCGACAGGATTAGAGAGAGGATATGAAAATGTATGGCATTTTTAGGCATCTTTTTAATTTTTATTTATTTTATTCATTTATTTTTAATTTTATGTGCCCCAGGCATGAAACAGCTCTGGCCACCAACACAGGCATCAAGCTAGGGTGAACTAAACACTTGTTTTTTGGTCATCTTGATAGCTGGGTATTACCTTCACTAAAGATCTTGGTGGTATAGAGCAGCGATTTTCAACCAATGTGCTACAAGAATTTTTAAGACATGCAATACCTGACTATTTAGTCAGGGGTACTAACCAGTCTTTTTCCTTAGATTGTCAAATAAAAAAATGACAATGGCCAATGTAACAGTAGCTGTCCAGTGTGAACAAATCAAAATTATACCTATTTTTTGTCATATTTTTGGCTGCAGAATTTTAGTTATTAGTTTATGTGTGCCATGAGATGAAAAAGATTGAAAATCACTGGTATAGAAGGTTAAAGCCAGAAATAGATTTTGGCTTTGTGGCAGTTCCTCATATTCTGCCCCAAATTTCCATTAAAAATAGAAAACTAGTTGCATTTTATT